TACGTCAGACACATTGTCCCCCTCAGCATGGTAATGACTGATAAACTTGGAAAAACTGGCTAGCTTGACTTCGAAGTCAATTATGCTTGAATGTTCTTCGTTGTCGGGTATATAAGTTTCTCCCACTGGCGATAGCCCAGTGATGGCCGCTATGTCGAAGAAGGTTGGGGTGATCATTCCACCTGGGAGATGGAAAGTGTTATAGGTACTGTCCCAGAAATAGAGGGACGCAAATAGCAGAGGGTGGCTGTAGGTGAAACCAGGCTTCGATAGCTTAATCAGGTTATAGATACCTAATTCTTCCCATTGTTGGGATTTCTTAGCTTCTACTTTCTTGAACCAATTTTGATAAGCAATATCAGAGGTGGGGCAAGATCGAAATGGCTTAAAATTACTTTTTACATAATCCAATACAAAGGGGTCCTTAGGAGGTACAGTTGGGTTTTCTATGGTATTTGAACTAGAAGATTCTATTTCCTTAGGGGCGTCCATTTTGTTAAACAAGGGTTTAAAACTATAACAAACTGGGAAAATCGTCCTGGTGTCTTTTAATATTTCAAAAACCGTAAAAGGGCCATTTAAAGCTAACCTCTTACTAGCAACGTTGGTAGGAATGAGTACCTGTGACACATACAACATTTCTTTTTCCTTTGAAATCATCTGAGGGGCAAGAACGGATTGACCTTGGTGAGTGATGATCTTACTTTCCATGGTAGTTCCTGCAGTTTTTCCTTTCTTCTTGGAGACTTTCTTGAGTTGGGATGAAGTAGAAGAAGACATTTTTGAAGGATGTTGAAAGCTTGGGTTTTTGACGAGAGAAGGAGGGTAAAAGATTCAGAGTGTGAAAAGAAAAGAAAAAGATTAAGTTGGTGATGTTTTATAATGGGGAAGTTTAAGCATCCACTGAATGAGGGTGTGATACGTGGAAATCATGGGTTGGTGTGATGAAGAGGTGGCGTAAAGTTAACATGGGTAATAGGCATGATTTAAAGATAATCATTATTTGTAACTGCACCATGCTGTGAAGTGGCTCCAGGCGGTTAAGGAATCCAAAAGGTGCTATGATTGACGTGACTGGAGTCAAATGCATTAAATGTTACGATGATTCGAAAGTCACATCAAAATCTTGTGTAGATGTTTAAAATAGGTATTTCTCAGAAGAATCGAAATACATATTTTAAAGGGGCAATTTGTTGGCTGAAGATTTTGATAATATTATTAGAAGCCAAATGAATTAAACGTTTCGATCGAAATGAAGTAAAACGTCATGTTTCGAAGTAGCAGAAGCGGTGTTTCGAATAAGCATGTCAAAGCTGGAGCTTTGAGTGGCAATTATGGGAACATATCTAAAGAAGTCTCGAAATAACAACAAGGCTGTGTCTGGGAAGTGCGTTCAAAACGGAGAAGTACCAAAGCATTTGAAATTCAAATGGAAGCGGGACATTCGAAGTTTGAAATTTATGTGCTGGAGCATTTGGGGACACGTGGGAAGAAGAAAGAGGCATTGTTCTGCATGTTCTGAACGTGGCGTAATCCTATAGCAAGACCGTTATGGTCGAATTAGTATAAATAGAAGTCTTAGTATTAGGATTTCGTGTGTCATATCTATTGTACTAAATACTCAGTAACATTCAAACTACCACATGGCAAGGGAAACGAATGCAAGAGCAATGTACGTATGATAGCACCATATACATTTATGATTTAATGAAAACCTTTTACCATTTCCAGCACTTTCCTTTATCTTTCTGTCAAATAACATTTACAAGTTTTCTCATTTACAGTCTTTTCACTTCGAAATCTCTTCTTTAAAGTTTTTCATTTTAATGCTTTCTTCACATTTCAAACACTTTACATTTCAGAAAACTGTCATATTTTCCATGCCTTTACCTTCAAGTTTTATCCTTCGAACGCATATTTTTACTTAAAGTCATTTACAGATTTCTTGCATTAAACGCTTTCTTCATATTTCAAACCTTTTACGTTCCAGAAATCCTTTACATTAACTGTTTTTATAATTCGAAACCATTTACTTGCCTTTTATGCAATTTTACATGTCTTTACAATTAACATTTATTCATGCAACTTAGTTTCGTACACGCACATTTTGATTACATCTTTAGACCTTTAAGAAAGAAATCGAAATAAGCCAAACACCTATACAACACTCAAATATTAACCATGAATATCTGTTCGATCATGAGAGTTACCCTAATGACCAAGGAATCCTAGGATCAATCTAGTCGATCCTGTGAGTTACCCGAGGAATTGAATAACAGTCAGAAAGATTATTCGATAGTTTGGAAGACTAGCGGTTGTTTACCAGAAATCACTGGAAACACAGGGAGAGCTACACTTTCAGACAAGTAGTCAGCATTACTAGTCACATGATGAGTGGCACCTGAGTCGAGATACCAAGGTTGAACTTGCTGAGTGAGGTCAATTGGTGCTGTGAATCCTGTGCCAGTGAAATGAGCCTGAGGTTGATACATAGGTCTCTGAGCAAAGCCAGGTGGGGGACCTTTGAGATATGGAGAAAGCCATTGATTCTGAATAGGAACTTGCTTAGCAGTAGTAGGCATCCATTGATTATAACCACCTTGTGTCACAGGCCGAGCTACTGCAGGATTGATCCACTGATTCCACGCTGGTCTCTGTTGATGTGGATTTGCTTTCCATACATCAGGCATTAAGGCAGAGTGCCTGTGATATCAAACACTAGCATCACGTCCTGGTTTTGAGCAGATTTGACAGTGAACTCTATTTTTGCCACCATATTTGCCACCTCTGCCACAATAATGTCTACCACCACGATATCCCCCACAACCTTCACTGTAGGATGAATTCTCTGCATATTGCATGACATTGGTGGATTCAGGTGTAGCTTGAGCAGTTTGAGCAACTACAATAGGTGCAACTTGAGCAACATTCACTGAGAGAGGCTTAAAGAGCACCACTTTCTTTGACTTCTCCAGTTTTGCTTCATGAGCAAGAAGCATAGACTCAACTTTAATAATAGGGAACAAAATTGCACGATACTGAATAATCGACGCTAGGGCATTGTATTCCTCAGGAAATCCATCAAGAATAGCTTCGAGTTGGTCGCAGTGGGAGATTGGATCGTCAATTGACTCAAGAATATTAACGATTCATTGAATGCGAGCAAGATAATCAATTATGGATTTATCCCCTTTGGTGATGGATTTCAATTCCGAGCGTAACTGTCTTAATTTTACGTTGGTGTGCGTAAAGATGTACTGATGAAGTTCATCCCATATTTGATGAGAGTGAACGCACCTGATGAAGTGAGGAAGAACATTGTCGGAAAGCGTTGTGAGAAGCCACGTGAAAAACAGAGAATCCTGCTGTCCCAAGCCAGATGCGCCAGATTCTCATTATCATCGTTGCGATCGGCATCAGAGAGGTAACGAGGCAGAATCACAGGATTTACAAGGAGACGATAAAGGCGATGGGTGCGAATGATGCCTTCGATTTGCTGTTTCCAGGAACAAAAATTGTTTTTCGTCAAGCTTCAATGTCACTTGATGCGTGAACGTTTTGAATACGTTCTTCAAGGAGAACGAAGAGGAGGTTGCACCGTGAGCCACCGTGCTTTTCACGGTGTCGTTAGAACTATCATTATCGGAAGCCATGAACGCTGGATCAAGAAGCGAGTGATACCATAATAATGCATAAACAGAGAGAGAGAGAGAGAGAGAGAGAGAGAGAGAGAGAGAGAGAGAGAGAGAGAGAGAGAGAGAGAGAGAGAGAGAGAGAGAGAGAGAGAGAGAGAGAGAGAGAGAGAGAGAGTTTTGTAACTGAATTCTGTTATTGATCTCAATCAGTTTTCACTTCTGCTATAACAGAGTTTATATACCAATACCTATTTAGTATAAACATATTAGTTTAGCTGCTTACAATTTCTTCTTAAGCTATATTACTATAGCTAATCTACTATTACTCTATTAGAGTGTAGGTGTCTTACTGTTTTAAATGCTTACTGGGAAGCCGCCCTTATGTGGTGGGAACCGTGAGAAGATTCTCCATAAGATAGTGAAAGATGATATTAAGTTGCCAGGATATTTGTCAAGTGAAGCACATGCATTGTTGAAAGGGCTGCTACAGAAGGAGGCACCAAATTGGTTGGGTTGTAGAGCTAAAGGGATTATAGAAGTCAAAGGGCACAAGTGGTTCAAACTAATCAACTGAAAGAAGTTGAATGCACGTGAAATCGAACAAAGCTTTAGACTAGAAGTAGTTGGGAAGTACTGTGTTGCAAATTTCGAGAAGCGCTAAGTTGTTGATTGTATAAATATGTGAAGACAACCTCACTCTTTGAACTAACTTTTGGAGATGAAATTCAAACATATTTAATATGGTATCAGAGCCGGATTAAAGATTCCATAAATTCTTGTGAAACTTTCAAGTGGGTATGATGGTGCTCTTGTTTCCTTTTGTGCAGGAAGAAATCATGGAATGATGGTCTAACACCTCAGAAGTAGGTGGTAGGTGTTGAGATTCGATGTGAAGAAGATTTGATCTCAAAATTTAAAAAGAATCAATTGTTAGGCTTTAGCCGTTGATATATGTGTCATCATCACAAACAGCTTATACTCTCATATTTTTTTGTTTCTTATTCAATAATACCGATTCGATTCAAAACAAGCACTCATTACTGACTAAAGTGTTGTGCTGCCAATCATCATTTAACAATTGTAACCGATTAAAACAAAATAAAAATCTTGTTTATGCATTTAACAAACAAGGTACTAAAATTGATTCTTATAGACGCTAATAGTTCAATGCTTCCACACCTCGCCCCAGTTAACAAAAAAACACTTCTACAAGTGTGAATATTTAAAATAAAAGAATGCGCATCCAGGGAATCGAACCCTGGTCAGTACCGTGGGAGGGTACTATGATACCACTACACCAGATGCGCTTTTTGATGATCATTGAATATTAACGGTTATTTGATGAAACAATTCAAAATCCCTATCTACTTCCAATCCTTCCTAAATCATTCCCAAATTGCGATATCATCTTCTCCTTCTCAATTTCGATTCCCTGGTACGCCTTTGCAGTTTTTGCTTTCTAAATCTTGCTGCATTTTTTTGCTTGTTCTCAATCTAGTATTGAATCATTCCACAGCCCCATTTTGTTTTGCTTCAAAATTGCCATACCCATTCATTTACTGTGTTAACTCAACAAATTTTGATGATCAATGGCTTATTTGTTTCTTCACAACGCACGTAATTACACACCAACTGTGCTTTTCTAGGTTTACTGACAATATCTTATTCGTATGATGCTGTTTTTGTTTTGTTGCTTTTGATGTTGATTATTGATCTGCTCTGTTTTGTTGTATGGCTTCTATCACTAGTCTACATGTTTTATTTTTAATATTGTTTTCATTGATCATTTGATCTTTGAATAGTTTTCTGTTAGGTTAGTTAATGGGACTATAGAGGACCTCAAATTCTTATTTGATGATTTTTCTCCTTAGTTTGATTATGAAGATTATTGAGATATAAAGCACCTCAAATTCATAGTTAATTACTTTTCAAATTCATAGTTTTTGCACAACTATTTTTGTGGACAGTATTGTCAATCGTTGATAGAGAATTGTTAATATTCCGCTATGAAATTGTGTTATAGGGCCAACATATTTGCTATTTGACAACATTTTGTACTAAATAGTATATTGTGGAATATTGGTGGTTTGTCCAAAATCCGCTACATTGATTCACTTTCGCTTAACTGGATTTCCGTGAAGGAGGAGGAATGCTAGCATCAACCTTTCGATCATTATCAATGTTTTGATTTTTCGAGTTCCAGTATCCTTTTCCTTGAATTTCTTTGAGCTGACGATTTTTTTCGTTTATTTGATCCCTTAACTGTCAACAAAACATAATAACAAAATATAAACTAAGCTCGCTGATTAACTTAATAAGTATAACAACGATTTTAATTTATAAGTAGTGATTGTAATTTCAGAATCGTTGCTGATATTATCATTGTGTTAAATCATAAAATATATTTATTTACCTTTCCCTCTAACTTTTCACTTTTGGCAATGGTCAAATCATGTTCCTCATCAAGCTCTGCCAGTAACATCTCCATCATTTTGCATTCTTTGACAGCCATTTGGAACCGTTCTTGAAGTTTCTTCTGATTCCACTCGAGACTCTCCATCTCAGTCTGCATTCGATGTAGTTTTCGTTTGAGCTGCATAATATTAGGTAAGCCCAATGGGCAGGCTTTTGTTAGTTAGAAATTAGAGTTAGTTAGGATACTAACAAAAACTAGCAGAGAATCAGTCCATCCTTCTGCACTAAGAAAAGAATATTATCAAAGGTATCTAGTCTGTTACTGTTCCATTTTCTCAAATTATTATCCGTGTTTACGTGTCAGTATCAGTTTCAGTATCGTGTCTGTAACTTCAATTGATCATATAACACTTCAAGACAGAATGAATTGTATAATATAAGGGGCACACAACATAAATGAAAACAAATACAATTATAGAATAAAAACTAACCCGCCTCTCCCTTTCAATGGAACTCACAACTCTTGCAGGTAAGAAGAAAAGCCCAAACATCCATGAGATAAATCTCAATATTATGTTCACATTGAAGATTATTGCATTCCTAAACAACTCTGTCTAAGTGTTGATGACAATTAATCCAGTTCTGATAGGAAACAAGCATACCAGCTTAATTATTGTGAAAACCCTTGTAACCAAGAGTATTACACTAGCCAATAGCTCTGAAATTACTTCCATAATATTTGGTGGATGCAAATCATCTCAGTATCCTGCAATATCAGTACATCCATATGAAATAAATGTTCTCTCATTCAACTCAAGGCGTTCGTTATTTGTCAAACTTCAACGCTTCTTTAATGAAACAATTCAAAATCCCTACCTACTTCCAATCCTTCCTAAATCATTCCCAAATTGCGATATCATCTTCTCCTTCTCAATTTCGACTCCCTGGTATGCCTTTGCACTTTTTGCTTAAATCCATTTCGTTTTCCAATTCTTGCTGCATTTTTTGTTTTGTTCTCAATCTAGTAATGATTTATTCCACAAAACTCGTTTCGTTTTGCTTCAATTTCAATTTAAATCCCAGTTTTGATTTCTATAGTTTAACACAATGATAACAAGGGTTTATTTTTTGTTTTTCAATCTCTTGTTAATGACATATCACTTATAATTTTGCTACTTTTACTCCTTTTAAGCTTGTGTTATTGTTGTTATGCAAAATAGATTAGTATAACACCAATTGTTTTAGCACAATCCTAAACATGTATAGCAATATGATGCTGTTTCTGTTTTGTTGCTTTTGATGTTGATACTTTGTTGTATGGCTTGTATCACTAGTCTACATGTCTTATTTTTAATATTGTTTTTCATTGATCGATTGATCTTTGAATAGTTTTATCTATGAAACACGGACGGACACTGGAAACACGACACCAACACTGACATGTCGATACCAATAATAAATTAAAAAAGTGAATAAATTAAACGTACTCTCACAAACTCTAACAAACTCTTAACAATTCAAATACCAACTTCAACACCCACCCTCACGCCTAGCGTGAGCATGAGCCAAACGCCCACATTGCAGTCCTTAACCCGGCTCTGATACCATCTTAAATATGCTTGGATCTCGACCCGAAAAGCTAGTTCAAAGGATGAGGTTGCCCTCATATTTATACACCCGACAGCCCGTGAACCTAAGCAAGTGGGACTTCAAACAAACTCTAACAATTCAAATACCAACTTCAACAGCATTAAACATGATTACTGTTTTCTGATCATATTTCCATCTGTAAGGTAGTGTTTCGGTGCTGATTAGATGGTGTCAAGTGTTGCAGAGTGTTGGGTACTGGTTCGGATGGTTTGAGGTTGCAGTAGTCTTGCGGTGATCCGGGTTTTTGCTGCTTATTATGATCCTATTGCAACAAGTTTGTTACTGAATTACTGTGGTGGGTTTATGCAGTAGGATGCTACCACTTGTTTGGGTGTTGTAATGAGTTTTCAGGTCTAGTGGGTTGTAATTATAGCTATAGCCGCAAGTCTCTGCCCAAATGTTGTACATTAACTCGAATTGGCGGATTGCTATTTTTTGAATTCTCTCATTTCTGTCGTTTCTGTTTAGTGTTGTCAGAATATAGATCTGCATGTTTTGAGCAGGGATTTATAACAATATTTTTTGGTGGTTTGGTGTAAATCCAGTCGCGCATTCAGCACGTTGTTCTTGATCAGAGATACAGGGACAGATTATGTGGTGTAGTTAATTGATCGAGAGCGAGGTGAAAGGATTTAGCGGGATAACGGTGCAGTTCTGCTATTGCATTATACAGGTTTATGATACATATGGCACAACTATCAGGAAACTGATATCAAGAGGTCTTGGCGCATATACTGCAAATCTGTCTTGCTGGGACAGTGCAGTATTCTTGCAATTGAGTGGAGCACTGGTTCGTGTTTGAAGCGGAGTAGGTTCGCCTCAGCTTAGGTAGCGGTGAAGCTGAATTTTGCGCGGAGAGGTGAGAATGCCGAGATTTAGGCTGGGCTGGAGCAGGAGTTGGTGCTGAAGCCAAACTCTAAATAGCTAATTCTCAGTCTCGGATGTTAGGTATTGGGTGCGTTGGATCTTCTGCACAAGCAGTCCGGAGTAAGGGATCTTCATTGCGAATTCTAGTCGAGACTCGTGCCGCAAGAGATCATTCGGCCTAAAGTTATCACAGTGGCGCGGAGAACTGCTTTCGCAAAAAGAAGTTGAGGTGTAGCTTTGTCGAGTAGGAGTGGCGGTCTCTGCAGGCTGTTGTTTCAATGTTGCAGAATTTGTATCTGGTGAACCTCTTGAAAGGCTGATGCAGAATTAGTGACTGTGAAGTTGATCTCCTAAGGCGTATAGAATTCGTTTGATGTTTTGTGTTGGAATTTGCTCAGTGTAGTAGTGCGTTGGGATCCATTGTTTACCGAGTAAGATCCGATGATCAGGTTTCGAAGTCGCTGTTTCGTGGTTGGTTTATCTGAGCTAGCTTTTTGTGTAAGGTCGCTGGTATTCCCAGGTTGAATGACCTGTATCAATGTAGTCTATTCAGAATTTCTGTTATCGTATTTGGTGGTGGTCGAGGTGGAAAGGGGCTAATCATTTCAGGGGCCTGCTTTGGATCCGGCTGATTTTTTCTGTTCTCTGTCAATGGAAGTGTGTGGCGGTGTTGTGTTGATCACTTGGGTATAATTAACAGGATGTTGCTGTGTTATTTATGCATCTTGTAATTTTTATTTGTTTTTGAGGCCTAGGTGGTTATTTTGTTGGGTGTTCTTAGTTTCTCAGATTCGGTTTGCTTCTGTTTGTATTGGTACAGGCAAACTTTGTGTTCCTGGCATAGCTTATGTCTTGTTTAGTTATCAATTCAATTTATTTTGCCTTTAAAAAAAAATGATTACTGTTTTGCTTTTGATAAGAGTTATCTTGCTGAAAGCTAGTTTTTGAACTGGTAGAGTTGAAAATTTTCACTCTTGTATCAGGAAAGGCCTTAAGCGGCTTAATTCTCTTTTTCACATTCATTTAAAATTTCATGAAATTCTCCATCCAAACACAACCTTGATGTTGTGACCTTGCATCAGCTTTTTGAGTTTTAATGATGAATTATAGAGCTTATAGTCTGGATGCCACTTTCAGGTTTATTATAATCACTTGCGGCACAAGTTTGGTCAGTTGTTAAATAAATGAAGGATAAGAAATTTTGGTTTGAATCATATTAATATCCCGGCTTGTTACTTAAGTAGCCTAATTTCATCATTTGAGTAATTACTGCAATGCTAGTGGTATTGTACGTTTATTGATGGACAAACATTTGATCTGTGTTTATTTATTTGTATCTGGTGCTTGCTCTGTTGTAGTTTGTAGTATTAAACATTTATGTACAAAATGATTACATTTGCATAATCATTTGAATTTTCTGTGTACATATAACATGTTGCAATATGTAACGTTTTCCTGATCGTTACTACTCGCCAGGGAAAAGGAAAGAAATCTCAGAATAAATAGCTGACAAGCAGGAAGGGTGCAGTGATTGATAGAAGGAATGAGGATCATTGGACTGACTGGCGGAATAGCAAGTGGCAAGAGCACTGTTTCCAAGTTATTCAAGTCTCATGACATCCCTGTTGTCGATGCTGATGTAGTTGCTCGTGTATGTTTCTTTTTCTGTGTTTTTTACATTTTAGGTTTTCTTTTAATGTGGGCAAATTCCTTACAAGTTCCGTGGTTATTGGGATTTGAATTACCAGGAGGCTTTGAAGAAAGGGAGCGGTGGATGGAAAAAAGTCATTGCGGCGTTTGGGGAGGAAATTCTACTCGACAATGGGGAAGTTAACAGACCCAAACTTGGCCAAATCGTTTTTGCAGATCCCGATAAGCGTCAATTTCTCAACCGGTATTCTAAATTTATGTTGCGTGAATCATATTACATTTTATTTTATTTTATGATATTTACATTGAAGTTCTGGTTGTGATGGTTGCTTTAGATTGTTGGCTCCTTATATATCATCGGGGATCTTTTGGGAAGTTGCGAAGCTGTGGTTGAAAGGTTACAGGGTCATTGTTCTTGACGTCCCTTTGTTATTTGAGGCCAAGATGGACAAGTTCACAACGCCCATTATTGTCGTGTGGGTTGATCCTGAAACACAGATTCAAAGACTCTTGGCAAGAGACGGGTCTAGTGAGGAGGATGGTCGGAATAGGGTTAATGCTCAGATGTCACTGGACGATAAAAAGAGTAAAGCTGATATAGTAATAGACAACACTGGTTCACTAGACGACCTGAATGAACAATTTCAGAAGGTTCTGGTCCGCGTCACTGGACCCTTGACATGGTTTGAATTTTGGCGTTCTAGGCAGGGGGTCTCAATCATTCTTGCTTCCCTTTCCTCAGGTGTTGTTCTATGTGCGAAGGCATTCAACAGCAACAGGTCATAGCCACTTGCCTATTTTGTGATTTATGAAGTGCTTCACACTGTATCTCTTTCTAAATTCTGAACAAATAGATACCATACTACAATCCAAGTTTCGAGGTGATATTAGAATTTACATGTTTATTATAGGATTTATTGCACACCATTACTGTTAGGGAACTCCAAAAGACAAGATAGGGAATATTGATAATGGGAATCACAGGTAATTTGTCTATAGACCTGTCAAACCATTGGCTTTCATTAAGTGGAAGATATCACGGTTTCCATTATCATATCGTGCAGTATTGATATGGATGTTTTTGTTGTTATGTTGAATGTTACTATTTGGCAATAGACTTAGTAACATCTAATATTCTTTTTCTAATGATTGATGATTTGAAGTGCAACTCCTACACTTCAGTCATAATCCATGTTTTTATTATTAATTATATATTTTGAGGTACCACTATTGTATTATGCAATTTGCTTTCATTATTTTTTAATTTCTAAAGATTAGGTGTATGACATGCATGCATACATCTGCCGTGATACGAAGAAGCTGTACAATTTGGTGATTGGCTTCAATATCTTGGAAGATTATTATTATTACATACGTGTATACAAAGTCTAAAATTAAAAACAAGAGATTTGCACTTAAAGCAAGTAGGTGCTTGCATGATTAATTCATTATCCTCTACACCGAATTCAACAGTAAAAATAAATACATGTCTCAACTAAGGATCAATTGGTTTACTTGTTGATCAAGCCATTGCCATCATACAAGTTACTGATGGGAACTTAATTTTGGGTTGTATTAGATTATATTAGTCACTAGAAAATCATATCATTCTTGAAGTAAAAAAGATAAAAGTATCACACTTGAAAGCCTCTTCTTTTTGGAGGTACTTTTTATTTTATATAATAGTTACTGAATATTCTCTTTGGAATCACGTGATTTGATGATTTAAATGTCATAAGTATATAGTATTAGTATATTATAATATAATGGTGATTGCTTTTGTGGGATATACTTGTTAAAGGGGATGTGGCATCCATCACTAAAAGAGGGAAATGGATCATCTCCTGCGGATCTTTTACTGCCATCTCTGCTGCTCATTTTCTAGCCATTGGATTAAATCTTTATAATGCAGATTTTTTCTTTTTTTTTTTCTCCACCATTGAATCAAAGCAGAATGAGCAGCATGGGAAAGGAAACAGTAGAGGATCCACATCCCTAAAAGAGTGCTTTCATGATCCGACCACTTTTCTTCTTCCATTTTTTTTCTTGTTTATTTATAATTAATATCACATTATACTAATACTGTAATTTCTTGAGGGAGAGTTTTGTTTATATTGTAATTTTCTTGAACTCTAATGATTAATCTTTTGTTTTAAAAAAATAAAAATAGATTGACACATGTGTTCCTCACACTCTTTAAAAGCATTGCAAAACCAACCCACACCCACTTAATTTCCACTCAAGTAAACTACTTACCAACCAAACTTCATTTCAAATGGCTGCACCCAAACCGCCACCACCTGATCATCATCATCAACAACTTCCTCCTGCATCAGAAACTCTCAAGTATCAGGTAATCATAATCAAACACACACTTTTAATTTTCTCTCTTATCTCAACTTCACTTTATTTAGTACTGTTTATATATATATATATATATTCTACAGACATGGGTTTTGAAAGTCTTGATCCACTGCGATGGCTGCACAAAAAGAATCAAGAAAATTCTTCAAGGAATTGAAGGTATATATACATTATATATGCTTTTTAATGTACATGATGGTATCTTATATTATATATGCACGTGTTTTCGTGATATTTTTCATACAATATTTCTATATATACAAGAGTTAAGTATATTTTTATTTTATATAAATTTTAATATATTATACATGTTTGGGACAGGTGTTTACACAACAGAAGTTGATTCTATGCAGCACAAGGTTACAGTTACAGGAAACGTTGAAGCTGAGACTCTCATAAAAAAGCTTTCAAGATCAGGAAAATCAGTGGAACTTTGGCCAGAAAAACCACCTGAGAAGAAAGATAAAAAACCTTCAACAAAATCAAAGGAAGATCAAAAGAATGGTACTGAGCCAGTTGGTGAAAGTGGTCATGATCATGAAGATTGTATAGATGATGTAGGTGATGATGGTGGTGAAGAAGATTCAAATCATAATGATGGTGATACTGGTGGGGGTGATAATAAAAGTGAAGGGGGTGCTAAAAAGAAGAAGAAGAAAAAGAAAAATAGAAGTGGTTCTGTAACTTCTGTTCCTCTTAATAATGATGGAGGAGAAAAAGTGATTATTAGTACAGAAAAAATTGTTTCTCCCAACGAAATTATTGTCCCTCCAGTACTTCAGCAACAGCGTGGTTATGGTTATAATAACCCATATCCACCACATATGTACTATTCACACACTCCTCTTGCTCATGCACCACCACCTTATGGGTTAAGCTATAACACATCCTATCCTGTTAATACTACTTCTGGTTATTATGTTGGGGGTTCTATAATGCCTATGCATGCTAATTACTCTAGAGCTCCACCACCTCCTCCTCCGCCGTCTGGTCCGATTAATAACTATGGTTATCATCATGATCATGATGAATATGAAGGTGGATATTGCTCCATTATGTGACATGAACTTCAAAGTGGATCGTGATGATGATGTTGTGTATTAGTTGCTAGTGTTGTTGCTTGTTGATTAGTGCTAATATTTGTATTATGTGCTACAAAATTTGAAATTAACTACCAGTTAATAAAATCAAGATTTGGATATTGTGGATTTAGTATTTTAGAATTAAAATTTTTTTTACTTTATTGTTTTTTTGTGCCAGTTTAATCTCAATCGAACGATCATCAATTTGGTTAGGCGTGAATATTTAAATTTGTGATTGCAACAACCTCTTTAAGGATGTCTGTTTGCTCCTATTGTGGGTCTCTAATGTTTCTCTTTGCATAGTTATTTTTTTGTTTTCTTTTAATAACTTGTTAAAAGTTTTCTAAAAAAAAGGCCAATAGCATTATAATGCTATGCAATTTGTAGGACTAAAAGTCTCTCTTTCACTCTCTATGTTATGCATAAAGTATATTTTGATGTACAAAGTTTAGTTTTCTTTTTGATAATCTTTATTTACATGCCATGCTTTTGGTAATTCACATGCATGCAAGTGAGTTCTAGCTGGCCAACTAATCTTAGCTACTAAGTAATTACTAAAGAGAGTGAATAATAGAATCAAAAGAAAATAAAGATAGTTTTTTGTATTTCTCTTTTTTTATTGCTAGCTTTGGCCCAAGCCCATGTTTTTAACTTTTCAATTGTGAAATTCTTACTTTAGTTGAAGTGTATAGATATATGAATATCACAATACTAGAATAGGTATACACAAGGGGAATGAATCTAAAATAAATAGAGTAAATGTTTTGTAATGTTTATGTCCCTTCAAATTAGAGGATTTTCTTATTATAGTACTATCATATTAGGTCACTCCATGATAAAACGAAGTGGGAGTTTTCTAGATTCTAGATAAATTATAGAGTTATAAATATAAAAAAAAAGTGCATCAATTAATTAAGAGATAAGTAAAAAAGAAGAAAAAAAGAACTTTATGAACCCATTCATGATCGTTAATTTAAGAGGTCTTCTTCGGACAATATCTCAGTGAACCCATATCATAAAAGTATGTGTCGGTGATTGTGTACTATTATCTCAATAAGAGTGTTAATGTTTGCATCATATATCCTCCAAACTTTACTTCAAATTCTATAAAATCACATGGAATAATTATGACTATTAAGACTAATTATTGGGTCAAAGAAAGACTGATCGAGATAAAATATATTATTTTTTATTATTATTATAAATAAATATTCTTTTTTAAATTTATTAAATAATAAATATATATAATCTTTTATATAGATCAGATACATTCATTATTCAATGAATCTAAAAAGAAAAATATTTACTTATAAATAAAATTGGAGAAAATATAAAATAAATGTCTAAATTATATATATATATATATATATATATATATATATATATATATATATATATATATATATATATATATATATATATATATATATATATATATATATATATATATATATATATATATATATATATATATATATATATATATATATATATATATATATATATATATATATATATATATATATATATATATATATATATATATATATGAGTGTGTGTGACATAGGTTCGACAGAGTTTTACATTGGCGATCGATTGCCTAACACATCCCTCTTCTTTTATCCGGGTTTGAGACCGCTATACATAGCAAAGCTAACATAAGCATAACACATATATGCTATGACGCTTTCCTCATCGTCATATTTCTCGTTGGTCGGAGTCGTTGTCTTTTTGTTCAATATGATAGATATAGGGGATGAACACGAAGAAAATAATTCGGTTGAATGTCGTGATGGTGGTCCGGGTTAGTTTTACTAGAGCCCTACTGCAGGCGTCAATTGTATTCTCTGAAAATACAAATGTGTGACAACTTCTAGGAATTAAGGGTTGTCAGAGACTTTGGGTTGTTGTAGGGTTAAAAGATAGCACATGTGGGATTAAAAACTCTTGTATGTGTATATTTTTGTGTCGTTAGTCCTCCTTATCAACCACACTGATGGTTTCCGTACAGGGCCTGTATCTAAGGCCTCTTTGGGGATAACAACCGCTCAGTTTCCCTCCTAATATTTAAGAGAGTGTGATTCCCCTTTCTCATGACCCTTTCCATGTCATTACAGGGGGAGGACACGTCACCCATTTGCGCGCTTAGGCGATAAAAGTCAAAGAAGGGAGATACGTCTAATAAAAGTGAGACACATTTAATAAATGGATGGTTGGTCTGATAGATAGTTGTTAGATCCATTGTTTTATGATTGGCATAAATTTTGCTAAAACATGGTTCTTAGCTGATGTTGAGCAAGATGTCACAACATCTTGACCAACTATCATGACGGGTTCTGCTGTCATGAATATCAGACAGATGTTGAGACAAATGTCTTGACGTCATGGCCAACTGTACAACATGTGTTGCTGTTATTTTTTTTGACATATTTGATTTGATTTTGTGAGATCCTCTTGGATATATCTCACTGATTTTTGTAGGTCAAGAAGATTTTATTAGGAACAATGCATATTTGATTTGGTTTCATTAAAAAGGATCTTTGATACTTTTTAGGAAACTTTGAAGATTTGTTCCTATTCTTGTTGAAGATCTTGCAGCTGATTTAAAAATAGAAGATTAGATTTGGTTAATGAGTCCAAGTCCATTCTGCAAGAGTCTGTAAATAAGGCTTGCTAAACCTAAAATAGCAAGCATTCAAATCAAAGAAAAACCGTGGGTGCAATATAAGGGTTTAGGGTTTTGAGAATACTTTAGGTGCTTTATTTATTTTTATATGTCACTCATGTATCTTCTAATACATTGAGGTATACTGATTGTTCATTGTTACCTGCCCATCACTCATGAGCTTTTAAGCAAAAGAGTTGATTATGTGTCAAGTTATTGTTCTCACTCATGAGTTTTTAAGCAAAGAGTTAAGTATTGTTTATTGAAAGTGTAATCTTCTATTTTGGTTCTTGTCACTGGTTTGTGACTGGTTTTATCAATGAGGTGATTATGGGAAGCGAGAAGGAGATCTCATATCTACAAGGTTTATAGGTAGAAGTTGCACAAGGTAGTGATTAGGAGACAAGTTGTAAACTAGGTTTGTTTAGCCTTTGAATTAATAATGTCATAGTGGATTTCTTTCCTGGCTTGGTAGCCCCCAGAGTAGATGATATTGCACTGAACTGAGTTAACAATTGATTGTGTCTTTTACCTTCTACAATATACTTCTGCATAATTATTATTTTGGTAAAGGTTTTTCTGTCAGCAGATGATATGTTAACATTTGTCTTGACATTGTATTTTGGTGTTGAGACATCAATCTTGACATCTGTTTTAAAGTGTTAGAATTTCAATTGGTATCAGAGCAGGCACCATGTTCTGTTTATTGGGTGAGATCTAGGGAGAATAATTTCTGGTACTATGGACAAGGAAGGAGGATACAACAACAGACCACCTCTGTTAGATGGTTCAAATTATGACTGATGGAGGGTTTGAATTGTGGCTTTTCTAAAATCCATGGACAACAAATCTTGGAAGGATGTTTTGAAAGGATGAAGTCATCCTATTGTGAAGGACAAATATGTGAATGAATCCTTAAAACTAGAGGAAGATTGGTATGAAGAAGATGATAAATTAGATCTTGGAAATTCCAAAGTCTTGAATGCTTTATTAAATGGAGTGGACAAAATTTTTTCCAGGTTAATAAATTCTCGTACTGTTGCTAAAGATGCTTGATAAATCCTCAAGACAACTCATGAAGGTACATCCAAAGTGAAGATGTCCAGACTTCAACTTCTCACTACCAGATTTGAGAACCTAATGAATGATGATGAAAGCATTCAAGACTTTCACATGAATGTTATTGAAATACCAAATGCATCTAGGGACTTTGGAGAAAAGATGTTAGAAGAAAAGCTTGTTAGAAAGTGTTGTACCCCAAAATTTTCCCTCTCATTTCTCAAGACATTTCTCACCTAAAATCTCAAATGCTCAAGGATTTTCAAGGGTTTGATGAGATAAGCTCACCTCCTAAGCACTGAACTTCCAAATTAGAGTTTTGGTTTTCTCAAGGACAATTGGACTTTTGATGACTCAAGTGACTTTTATTGTTCATTATGGGTCTTAAAGAATGCACATACCAAGTTTCAAGACTTGCGTCTCAAAATTGCTCAGTCAATTGCTCAGATGACTGAAAATCAACTGTATTGGGTAAAAAGTCAACTGTGGTCAACAATAAAACTTCATGATTTTTGGCCAACATCAAAATTTTGAGGTCACATTCATCAATTTATTAAGAATTGATCACAATGCCTCAAGAAAAGCACTCAAATCACCAAAAGAGCAAAATGGTCAAACTTAGGGTTTTAACTAAGAATGACTGATCAATGACTTTTGACCTAGTACATGACCTAATGGATTGAAGAATGATATCAAGGACTCAAATGCAACATGTTGACCTAGTTTCATGACTCAAAACATTTCTCAAGATCAATGGACTAATAGTTGAAAGTTGATCAACTTATGAAAAGTCAACTGATACACAAAAAGTCAAACTTTGACTTTTTGGTCAACATTGAAATTCAAGGATCATGATTCATCAAGACATTCAAAAGTATCAAACTTGATCATCAAGAATCAATAAAGTCAAGATTTTTAACACTTAGAAAAATTTATGTGTTTTAACCTTGATAATTTCACTACTTCATGGCAATTTTTCACCATGATACAAGATGATTCAAGGAAAACTTTCAACATGAAAGTTGTAGATGTTGATGAATTTTACAACTTTGTTTTTAAGATTGATGTAAAAAATTCTTAGATTTGAAGATATGAGCTCATGAAGTCATTGACTTTTTAATAAAACACTTAGTGAAAATTTTGACAAGATAGGCAGATTTTTTGTCCTAACTTTTTGGCCAATTTTCACCAAGCTCCAAGATGATTTAGCCAAAAATGGTTAAAATAAAGTTTGTAAACAATGTTTCAATCTTTC